ACGTTATCCTCCGTACCTCCATGAAAGAAAACACAAAAGATGAAAGAATAGAATGTGTAGAATTTATAATAAAATCAGAAGGTGAAGTGAATTACATTTTCCCACTGGAATTGTCAACACAAGGAAGGTAGGTGTAAATTTTATAGAATTCAAACTACCTGCTAATGGACATATTTACTTATGCTTTGTTTTACCGACAGTCATTTTACTAAATAGGTTAGATCACGAGAGAAGAACGGTAATTTAGGACTTAGAAAATCGATTCTCGATTCGATAGGTAAAATTTCTAGTAGATTTGTTATTAATGGTTACTGTATATAATTTAATTTATTCCTAAAATAAACTCGATTTTCCAGAATTGATCGTCTTAATTGCCCCAAGGATTTACGTTATTATAAATCGATTTTCTCTACGCCATGCCGTTGAACGTTATCCTCCGTACCTCCATGAAAGAAAACAGCATGAACGAAAACACAAAACATGAAAGAATAGAATGTGGAGAATTTATAATAAAATCAGAAGGTGAAGCGAATTACATTTTCCCACTGGAATTGTCAACACAAGGAAGGTAGGTGTAAATTTTATAGAATTCAAACTACCTGCTAATGGACATATTTACTTATGCTTCGTTTTACCGACAGTCATTTTACTAAATAGGTTAGATCACGAGAGAAGAACGGTAATTTAGGACTTAGGAAATCGATTCTCGATTCGATAGGTAAAATTTCTAGTAGATTTGTTATTAATGGTTATTGTATATAATTCAATTTATTTCCAAAATAAACTCGATTTTCCAGAATCCATCGTCTTAATTGCCCCAAGGATTTACGTTATTACAAATCGATTTTCTCTACGCCATGCCGTTGTACGTTATCCTCCGTACCTCCATGAACGAAAACACAAAACATGAAAGAATAGAATGTGTAGAATTTATAATAAAATCAGAAGGTGAAGTGAATTACATTTTCCCACTGGAATTGTCAACACAAGGAAGGTAGGTGTAAATTTTATAGAATTCAAACTACCTGCTAATGGACATATTTACTTATGCTTCGTTTTACCGACAGTCATTTTACTAAATAGGTTAGATCACGAGAGAAGAACGGTAATTTAGGACTTAGGAAATCGATTCTCGATTCGATAGGTAAAATTTCTAGTAGATTTGTTATTAATGGTTATTGTATAAATTCAATTTATTTCCAAAATAAACTCGATTTTCCAGAATCCATCGTCTTAATTGCCCCAAGGATTTACGTTATTACAAATCGATTTTCTCTACGCCATGCCGTTGTACGTTATCCTCCGTACCTCCATGAACGAAAACACAAAACATGAAAGAATAGAATGTGTAGAATTTATAATAAAATCAGAAGGTGAAGTGAATTACATTTTCCCACTGGAATTGTCAACACAAGGAAGGTAGGTGTAAATTTTATAGAATTCAAACTACCTGCTAATGGACATATTTACTTATGCTTCGTTTTACCGACAGTCATTTTACTAAATAGGTTAGATCACGAGAGAAGAACGGTAATTTAGGACTTAGGAAATCGATTCTCGATTCGATAGGTAAAATTTCTAGTAGATTTGTTATTAATGGTTACTGTATATAATTTAATTTATTCCTAAAATAAACTCGATTTTCCAGAATTGATCGTCTTAATTGCCCCAAGGATTTACGTTATTACAAATCGATTTTCTCTACGCCATGCCGTTGTACGTTATCCTCCGTACCTCCATGAACGAAAACACAAAACATGAAAGAATAGAATGTGTAGAATTTATAATAAAATCAGAAGGTGAAGTGAATTACATTTTCCCACTGGAATTGTCAACACAAGGAAGGTAGGTGTAAATTTTATAGAATTCAAACTACCTGCTAATGGACATATTTACTTATGCTTCGTTTTACCGACAGTCATTTTACTAAATAGGTTAGATCACGAGAGAAGAACGGTAATTTAGGACTTAGGAAATCGATTCTCGATTCGATAGGTAAAATTTCTAGTAGATTTGTTATTAATGGTTACTGTATATAATTTAATTTATTCCTAAAATAAACTCGATTTTCCAGAATTCGACGGGTAAAATTTCTAGTAGATTTGTTATTAATGGTTGTTGTATGTAATTTAATTTATTCCTAAAATAAACTCCATTTTCCAGAATCCATACACATATAATGAAGCAGCAGAAGAAACAGTAACTGACAACTACTCCAAGTAATTGACAATATCCTGAAATAATTGATTTTACCAGAGAGCAGATTTAATATGTATGCAGCTCTTCAGAACTCGCGTTATCCAAGTAGACTAATACGACCATCCCGCTGAATCACCCAGATACACCTGCTGGGATAACATTGCCGTCACTATCGTGCCTATTTCACGCAGCACGCGCGAAAGCTCGCGTGCACCTTCTTCATTCTGTCCGTTTGACTCCGAAGCTTCTCCATCCTTTACCTTTGCCTTCGCTGTTAGTCGCGCGCGTCTCTTGCCATTCTTCGCGTATCGTATTTACGTTATATAAGCTTGGCTTGTGCTGACAATGCACGGAGAACCGTAGTGTCTGTTCGTTATCTCGCGCGTTGAAAAAGCCAGATGCACCGGCGACAATGCTTAAGATCCGACAAAGAATTTCGCCCTGGCTTCTAACTTTTGTGGCTGGTCGTCCTCCTTTTTCTCCTGTTTCATCCTCTGTCTTTCTTTCTCTGTATTCTCTGTCTGTCTGTCTGTCTGTCTCTCTAGGTTCTTCAATCTGTTTGTGCCTGCTCTCATCTTTTTCTTCCCTCGTTTCTTTCTCTTCTCTCAAGCCTCTTCCTGTGCCTGCGCTCTCTGTCCATTTCTTTCTTTCATTTCTTGGTTTCTTCTTGCTTTCTCCTCGTTGTTTGATGCAAGAAACGTGACACGGGCCGCTGCAGCACGAGTCAAAGCGTCTCACGCGTAATTTAACTTCAGCTTTGGTAAACGCAACTCGACGACACACAGTCGTGTTTCTACCCCTTTGTGCCATGGTCACGAGCCTGCTTCGGCCGTCCACACGACTTTCACTCGACCACCGCGGACACGTAGACAGCCCTTATCCTTTGGCGGGACACCGAAAGCCTGGCATTCCTAGGACTTTGCCCGGGATATGTATTTGCGACTCTGATGGCTACAGAGTCACGTGTCTCGAATAAAATACAGCTCCGTCCAGACGATATGAGCTCCACGTTCCGCGTTATATCGCGCTACGATGTTTTATTTATCAAATTTGAACGGGCCTTTCTCATATTCCCAGCACTAGCGAGACGTTGAACCACTCTTGAGCCTGATGTATCGGTAATGTTAACGCTAAAGCAACACACAGTGGATAGAACACACGTGGCACACCGTTTATTGTAGCATTTATATTTTAGTTAATCGAGCCTGATTATGTTAAATTACGTGCCATTTAAGGCACTGATTTAAAAAACGCTTCATTGAAAGATAAGAGGTTGTGCGTGTAATTTCTAGAGCCACTGTGAGATTGAAGGTACTTCGTGATTAATTCTTGTTTTTTTCTAATTACGCACTTCTTACGTATAGCTCGTCGTCGATTATAAATTAAAAATGTTGAGGTTTTTTTATATTTTGGAATAGAGAGAGCTAGCGCGTGGATGAATGTATTATAGAAATTCTTTATTCAGAAATGTTAGAAATTAGGATTTCCAGTGGTTTCTATCCTATGTGATAATGTATAATTCAAACTACCTGCTAATGGACATATTTACTTATGCTTCGTTTTACCGACAGTCATTTTACTAAATAGGTTAGATCACGAGAGAAGAACGGTAATTTAGGACTTAGGAAATCGATTCTCGATTCGATAGGTAAAATTTCTAGTAGATTTGTTATTAATGGTTACTGTATATAATTTAATTTATTCCTAAAATAAACTCGATTTTCCAGAATTGATCGTCTTAATTGCCCCAAGGATTTACGTTATTATCGTCGATTATAAATTAAAAATGTTGAGGTTTTTTTATATTTTGGAATAGAGAGAGCTAGCGCGTGGATGAATGTATTATAGAAATTCTTTATTCAGAAATGTTAGAAATTAGGATTTCCAGTGGTTTCTATCCTATGTGATAATGTATTGATAGATGAATTTATTACAGTGAATGAACAGAAAACGACGATTATTTAACTTGAACTTAATGCAGTAGTGTGATATCACAGCTCTCGATTAACGACTCTTCACTCTTGGCTCCCCGGTGGCTAACTGAACATCAACAGCTGCGGTGTCAAAATATATTGATGACCGTTAGGCCTTTTGAAGTTTCCCGACCCTTTCGGCTTGTCGGCATTTGCGCTTTATCGTCCACATTGTCTGTATGTCAGAGATCTTTCCGTGGTATTATAATAGAGACGAAAGAAGCCGCTGAAAGGGAATCGTTATACCAAAAACTAAACGCTAGAGGAGATGTACAGCTTTCCTTGAAGTGAGATCCACTTGAACAAGAAACAGAAGAAGACGTAGAGGATTGAAGCATGAAGAGGGACAATCGATTGTATGAATGGCCGATGGGATAAGAGATGTTGCTGCTATTTTCCTCTCTCGTGTACTTCTACGCTTTATATATGAGGTACGTCACGCGTGGCACGTAAAAGATTCACGAAGCACTCGAAAAGTCTCTGCTGACCGTTTTGCAATTCCCTAAGACCGGTTTAAAGGAAGCAAAGTAGTTTCTACTAAAACAACGAATATTTAGAACAATCGAAATCATTATTGAGTATTAATATTGTAGTATCGTGGCTTAAGAAATACCGGGTGAACCATAAACAATATTGCGAGAAGGTCTAAGTGCCGTTAGGCTGTTTTTATCGGATGGACGTCACCTGAAGGGTCGAGTGGGGGAGTTGTGAGTTGAGAGTCGAGTTGAGCAGTTGGCAGTTGACAGTCGAGTGGGGAGCACGAGGCGGGTATGGGTTCTCGGGGCGTAGGACCACGCCCTGGGAAACCCCGATGTATATGATATTCCCCTATAGTCGGGTGGCGGCTGGTCGGTGCCTTTGGTACCCGTCAGCTCGCCGATCCGGTGCGGAGAATTTCGGAGAAGTTGGTGGGCCCATACCTGTCAAGACCACTCACCTCACCTTCTCGTGGGGCTCTCCGTCACCCTGCACCGGCCTTGACCGGGGTAGGGTGCGAAAGAGTGAGTGGCACCAGGACGGGAATCTCGAGGACGACCAGGCACAAATAAAAAGAGAAAAATGGATAGACGAACAAAGGAGAAGTACTTTTACGGTGCAGGGGAGGGAGACCCCAGTACCGGCGCAGTTGCGGGTTGTCAAGTGGGCCCCGCTGCGTCGTTATCTCACGACCACGGCCGTTCGAGGGTGGACCGCCAGGCCCTCGGACGTGTTTCTACGCCTAGCGAGGCGCGGGACGACGCGATGGAGGCTGCGGAGGAGCCTCCAAACAGAACGAAGCGAAGTTCGTCGAACAGGTTGATGAGCGAGTTTCTCGTCCCGGCCCCAGTGGACGACGACTTCGCAAGAATGCGGGTGCTGCCGAGGTCCGATGACGAGGAATCGGTCGCCTGGGTCGCCACGATGTCGTCGCGTTCGTCGACGACGTCGAGGAGCAAGAAGAGGAGAATCGCCGTGACCACCCCGGACGTGTCCGAGGAGCTGGCGTTATTGATCAGGACGAGCTCCCCATCGGACGTCAGTGCAGGGTTTACCATGCACGTCTCCCAGATAATGAGGGTTGCGACAACATCGTCGAACCTAAAGGGGACGTACACCAAGGCCCTGAGGGACGCGGCCAGCTTCATCACGGCCGCATGGAAGCACGAGTCGTCCGTGAGGACGAGATCGACGAGCGACAGTGACACCGCAATGGCGAGGCTCACGGCGCTGGAGGATGAGAACGCCGCCCTTCGACGAGAGGTGTCGAAGCTGGCTGCTCGGGCCGGCGAATGCCCGCGGTGTTCCGGCCATGCTTGGGAGACCGGCCGGGAGGACACGATTGACAGAGCGCGCTTCGTTGCCCTGGAACGGATGGTGAAGGAGATGAAACCATCCATCATCAGGGCCATCGAGGAACGGCTCGGGGGTGAACAACAACGACGACGACGTACCCCAGATGCCCGGCGCAGCACCGAGGGCTCTGCCATTCCCCAACCCACCCAACCGACATCGCTCCAGAGGGAGCAAGATGGTGGAGAGTGGAGGGTGGTGGAGAAGAGGAGGAAGAAGAGAGGGAAGCTGAAGAAGACCGTGGCACCGCCGCC